TCGGCCAGGCGCTGGGGACGGCGGGAGGGCAGCAGTTAGGGTTCTAGCGGCATAGGAGGTGGCCGGGCCAGGTCGGGGCGGGGGCGCCCATGGCCATGGCGGCGGCGGGGGAGGGGAAGGAGGAGGTCACCGACCCTACCACGCCGCGGCGGCGGCGGCGGGTCGCGCGTTAACTTCCCCCGATATATATGCCCAGGCATATCTCACACTGAAAACTTACGAGATATGCATATCACAAGGCCAAAAGTAGTGCGCTTGACTATGGTGATCTAAAATTGAGTCACTAGATTCTGCGACAACAACACAGATGTTGTGTTCCAATCCACGCTTCAGAGTTGATGCCAATCAAATCAACCCAATCAATTACTAAATCGGGATTCGTGGTCAGGTGCCATATGACTTTTCAAATGCCTTTTTTCTCATTTCTGATGCTCGAAGGCATGATTAAGGTAGCTTGTGCATCTCATCTGTGTGTGATCCCACTGCAGAGGATAAATCGCTGCCATGAGAGAGAGACTAAGTGACAGATAGAGTGAGTGAGTGAGAGAGGAAAAGCTAACGAGTCATGGCTGTCACTGTCTAGGCAAGAAAAAGGACCCCCTCGAAACTGAGATGAACAAGAGCTGCCGCTCGCTCAGACTCAAGACATGGTGGAAGTGGAAGGCAGCCCCGTCTCTGTTGCAACTTGGGTCATGGTGGGGGCCTGGGCTGCGGCCCAGCCGAGTCCATTTCTGTTGTCCTGGTTGCGCACAACGACACGTGCCTTCACGTGGGCTTAAAGTGGATGGTGGGCTCTATGAGAGAGAGGGAAAGGAGTTAGCTTGTTTAGATTGTAAATTTTTGCAATCTGGACACTGTAACACGTTTCGTTTGTATTTGATAAACTTTGTCCGATCATGGACTAAGTAGGCTCAAAAGATTCGTCTCGTGATTTACAACCAAACTGTGCAATTAGTTACTTTTTTACCTACATTTAATACTCTATGCATGCGTCCAAAAATTGATGTGATGGAGAGAGAGTGAAAAAACTTGGAATTTTGATGTAATCTAAACAAGGCCTTACTAACCCTCAAGCACAGTACTGGTGTTTCTGTCTCTGTCTCTCTGTCTCTCTCATTTCAAGAAAAAAACACAGACCCTGTGCAGAGTTTGCAGTTTCTGATTCTCTCTGAGACTGCCAATCATTTAACCGTATTCTGAATGTGTTTACAAGTCGGTTTTGTAGGCCTACCAGTTGGTTAGACTAATTACAAATTGGGTCACTGAACTTTTTATTAGGGCAAGTACTGATGACAAGTTAGAAGGATCACAATTGCAGGTCAATCATGTCTGCTTAGACCACGCACCATCTTTTACGTCTGATGAAGGATGGACGGGGCCATTACCTGCTGTCCATGGATTCCAACCATATTTGACGTCCGGAATTTCAGGTAACCACAATTTAACTCCTGTTTGCCTATAGGACATACCCAGCGCACCAAACGGTGGCTAGGCGACTATTGAGGCTGCTGTGCTGCACCAATTGCCTCGTGACAACCCCTGCTAACTAATGGCCCCGTTCGCTTCGCTGAAAAAACAAGCCGAAACATTATTCTAGCTGATTTGTTATGAGAGAAAAACACTGTTCCGCCTGAAAAAAACAAGCTGAAAAGTACAGATTATAAGACAATTTGTCGCTTATTGTTACTAACGATGCACAGAATATTCCTTGATGCTTTGTTGAGTAATTCTTAGAGCCCTTTGGATTGCGGGAATTTTTCCGGTTTTTAAAAAAAAATGAACTGAATCCTATGAAATTTTCCTACATAATTCCTGCGTTCCGAGGGATCCCTTAAGCAGCTGCAGCGTTTGCTAAGCGGAGTACATGTCGAGAAGCCTGGCTGAGCAAAATTCGGTCCAGCTACATAAGCATGATTGGAGCCCAGCAAGCATTACGTAACAAGATTAAAAAAAATCACTTTTCCCATTCCTAAATGCAGAGCAAGGTGCAGCAGAGACACAGAGCACAGAGCAGTTCAGGCGCAGCACTGCGAGCGGGATAGCACCAGATGAAAATTTCGCTCCACTGTATTTCAATTTGCACCTTCTCATTCGCTTTCTTTCTCTTGCTAGCACCCTCAAATAAACATAAGCTGGAGCTGCTCTGGGGTTTTCTGAAGCAGCTCTGTTTGTTTCTCGCTGGCACGCCTCAGGCCCAGGGCAAGATTGGAAGCTGAGAAGAGGAAGGCAATCGAGGGTCTCAGGTCTCAGGACTACTCATCCATGCAATCAGCCAATCAGGTATACCATCCTTCTGTTTCGACCATCCCCATGCAAGAAACCATGAACAGCATATGTTGTGTTGAACAAACATAGATGTTTAGTGCGATACTTTAGGGTCTATCTGCAAATTACTGGCTAGCAAAAAATTGGCGCTGGTGCACCCAAACAAGAGAGCTAATATGTGAGATTGTTTTAGCCAAGTCTCAAACTAGTTGCTACCCAACTGAGCTTTTTTTAAACATGTTAGCCAACTAGCTAGCCAACTATGACCAGTTTGGGCTAATTTTTAGCCCAAACTAGTAATTAGCTATGTGTATCCAAACAATACTTACCATGCTTATACACTGCATTATAGAGCAACACCTTGCCGTTCAGGAACCAACAAAAGAAGGGGGTATATAGGATCATGGCCTTAGTTTAGGATACGTAAGCCAATTTCCAAATGTGAACCAGGACAGACCCACAGGGTATGCAGGGTGGGCCACCGCATACCATGGGGTCCGCCAGTCATAGAGATAGGTAGAAATTTTCAATGTAAAAAAAATAAAAAAAGGAAATGATCGGCGCTTTGGCTTCCGTCCTGGACTCTCGGTTCCGCGATCTCGCTAGCACCTAGCAGGTGCGGACTCCGCGGACAGAGTAACTGCTGGGCGGCGTTGTGACACATCTCGAATTCTCGATCAAGGACGAGGAGAACTGGAGAAGCCGAGAAGACGACTAGACGGGAGAGTTGGAGACGGCGACGACCGACGGCGATCCGCGGGATTTCCTGGCCGCGAGTCCGCGACGATCTGCTCCTGCCTGGCTCCTTCAGGGCGACGCCGCGACGGGAAAGGAGAAGCCGCGAGCCCGCGACGATCCGGCGAGGTGGCGACGGCGATCTGCTCGGCTCCTCAGGACGACGCGCGAGGTCCAGAACTCCAGCAAGTTCATCAGCACCGGTCGGTAAGTTCCAAAGTCCAAACATTCATGTCATTGAGCGGGATATTTTCTTTCAAGCTGACGAAGATATAATTGAGACATTCATGTCATTGAGAAAGCGACGGATCAACAAGTAATATTGTAAGTCTCTTATATGGCTATATTTTAAAGTATTTTGTATTTTATTTGAACAATTTATATGGTTTTAGAATATGGTTTTACCGAATGAGAATATGGTTTTATCAAATTATATATGGTTTACCGAATTGCATAAGAATTTTTTTTTGCTGCGCATACCCAGAGGTAAAAACCTAGATCCGTCGCTGATGTGAACGCACCCACAAATCAAAATGCACCTGCAACGAACAAGCTAGAAACCACACATTTCTCAACACAGCAACAGATACTTTAAGTCTACCAAGATCCAGTTCCATAGACCATTAAAAGCATCACGGGTAATCACAATCTTCTCAAGTTCAGACTCTGGCAAGTTTGTCAAGTACGTCCTTGCTGAGGTGAAATAAATGGTAAATAAAGAAATAGATTGGAGTAATTCTAGCGTATTCATATTCTCTAACCATTCAGTTCAGAAAGCACAAGTTTCTACGGCCCTCAGCCGCTCGTCCCATTCAGCTGGGCAGAGCTGAGCCTCCCAGGGCAGAAACTTCGCGCTAGCTGGACGACCGTCTCCAACAGCCTGAACCTAAAAACGTATTCGATGATTTGGGTAGCGCACAGCGAAAGGGTCACAGACCCAAAACTTCTCTTTTCCAACAGCCGACGCAAACGAGAAGCCCGCAACGTCGCCCAGCCGAGCGCCGCCCGCCTCGCCGCGTCGGGCCGCTCACCGCCGGCAGCGCTGCTGCAGACCCGCCTCACCATGCTGGCCGCACGCCGCCGCGGACCCGCCTCGGCGTGCTGGTGCGCACCTACGCGACGACGACCTCCTCCTCTTCCACCCGGTGCTGCCTGCTCCTCCGTCTTCGTCTTCCCCACGGCCGGCCACCGAGCTGCGAGCTCTGGCGCGAGATCTGGCAAGGCGCGGTGCCCTTCGCGGACGAGCTCCGGCAGCGTCCCCAGCGCGGGCCCCTTCGCGGCACGAGCTCCGGCGCGAGACCTAGCGAGGCGCGGTGCCGTCGGGACCAGTGGACGCCACCCTCGCCTCCATCGCCTTTCTCGCAAGCGCCGCCACCGTAGTCTGGGTGCTCCGCTCGGCTCGTGCGTCCGCATCGGTGCCGTCGGGGTCAGCGGGGGCCGCTCTCGACTCCGTCGCCGCCGTTCTCCGCCGTGCTTTCCAGGTGCCTTTCTTTAATCTGCCGCTTCCTGCATATTTCGCATCTCATCGCGTCGTCCTCTGCTTTGTTCTTGCTTGCTCCCTCTGTCTTTTCCCTCACCCATCGGCGCACCTCGCAGCCACTGCCGTCGCGGCAGCGCACAGATGTCGCATGCACCCCGTGCGAGCGGGATGGGTAGCAGCCAGGTGTGGAGACGCAGAAGGACGGAGAGAGAACGCTTATTTGCGTCCCGCGTCGGCTCACACCCAAAATGGGTTACTCGTTTGCCTAGTCTGTTGGAGCTTGTTTTGTGCGGATAAAACACTGTGAACAACACATTTTAGGTTTGGGTCACGCTATGCCTGCTCTGTTGAGTCAGTCTCGTGGCGGAGGACAACCAAATCCGCTTGCTCACAATCTCCATGCCTCTTACTTTCTGGTGGTCGTAGCCACCTCCACCTCCTTATCGCCCATCAACTTTTCCGCAGCCTTAAGCAGCAAGTTCAGGCCATGGATCTCGCCACTCTTCAGAATGTCCTCGTCTTAATCGTTCCTGTGGAGCATCAATATCCTCCTCTCCTTTTCGCTCCGCTTCTTGCAGGGGTCGCAGTCCCAATACTCCTTAGGCACCTTTCTTTTAGGAGGACTGAGGCAGTAGAGGTGATAGCCCTGATCCCAGCAGTCACACAGGATGATCTTATCATCGTCCGTGTCACACAGGCAGAGGCAAGATGGACAGTACCAGCGCTGGCTGCCCATCTGCACATCACTTGCAATCTGCTTTTTAGTCAGGCAACTAATGTGGTAGTACTTGTAAAAGCACTCAGAGTGGCTACAGATCAGGAACCTCTTGTCCCTCTCTTCACGTCCTCCACACACCTTGCAGCAGGTCAAGAGAGCAGTACGGAACAGCTCCAGCTCCGGAAGTTCAGAGGGGGCCATACTTCAGATCCCTACAAAAGTAATAACATAATAACGCTGAGCAACACAAACAAGTCCAGCATTGTAAAGTGCAAAAAGTCTATCCCAACTGAAATTTATAGAAAGCTGAGAAAACATTTGGTCAGTAATGTTTGTTCCATAATATGAAAACTGATCAGCGTTTTCACCAGGGGGCCCAAAATGCGCTAATGGAACAATACCAAAACATGGACGAAAACAATACATGTAAACGTTCATCCTGAAGAAATCAGGTGTAGATGAAAGTAAGATGCAACAAGAAACATTGGGTGATCAAAATGCCTTCCATTATCCAGCTATCCAGCTTAGAGCTGCAAGACCACTCCAGGGCGACAAATAAATTCAGTTGAGGAACATGATATATATTTTTTTTAAACGAATCAAGCAGTATAGATGTCAATTATGTTGATAAAGAAGAAGACCGACCTAGACTGGGCAAACAACAGCACCACAGAAGAAGAAGAAAAAAGCTACAACTAAGACAACTCAGCCAACAACAAAGGAACAAGTTTTGTTTTGTAAAACAATGAAATTGCTGAGCAACTCTAGATAAAATAAGCCACTGGGCAGACAAAAAAAATGAAGATGATCCATGGACTCCAATCCCCCAGATAAAGTTGGTCCCTATTTGAGTTATTCTGCTTCAACTATCGATTTCCAGAGATCTGTTCCATTCTGCATTCTGAGCAACCATTTAGCTAACAGGCACTGATTCATGTGTCCATCCTGAACTCCCAAACCCCCTTGCCTTTTCAACTTGCAAACAAACATCCCAACTGAACCAATAGTATATTTTCTTTCCATGAGTACCTTGCCACAAAAATCTCCTCCTGACAAATTGTTACAATGAAATAAGGCGGATAGGTAACCTATATCCAGTAAAACAAGCCTCCTTCCTTGCAAAAGACGGGCACCTATACAAGATGTCAACACTGCTACTTTGTGCATCAAGAATTTCCATTCCACCAATAATAACCTTCTTGTTGACAATGGCACTCCAAGGCAAGTGATTGGAGAGTGACCATTATTACAATTGAATAACATCTCTGCTCTTTGACTATCATCCACCAAAAATACGAAATTACTTTTCAGATAATTTATTTTCATCTTAGACATATGCATACAATAAAAAATCCAAATTCTGAAACCCCCAAAAAAACTCATCTTTAAAGATTAGGATAGCCTTTGAAGCAAGGCCAGCCCATTTGGGATCAAATGGGGAATTACTGCACTTTTTTTAGCTCTCCTCCCATAGCAGGTAACCCGGGGCGGATCTAGTGGTGGGGCGGGTGGGGCAAGCCCATCCTACCACCTCCAAGACAATAGAGCCCCTCCTTCTCCTTAGCCCCTCCTAATTTTTTAGACATAAAAGAGAGAAAGGAGGGGCTATAGAGGTTGAACTCTTCCATTAAATCCTAGATCCGCCACTGAGATGATCCAATAGCTACCAGATCATCAGGGAATCAATCAGATCTAGGCCCCTATTCGATTCTATGGACTGAAAAGTCAGATACCTTTCCTCGTCAAAAGATAAATAATAAAAAAATAATATCAGAATACTTCTCGATCTGTAAAATCTGCAATCAGCCTCAGCAGTTTTAAGTTTCTCTATAGTTCACACTACAAATCCGGCTGTGCACTACAAATCCGGCTGTGCCCAAACAACTCTTTGTAACAGAGAAGCATCGAAACTAACATGGAACAAAATCTGAATTCCTTAAATCGCCAACCTAAAACACTTAGCCGCCCAAAAAGCCCCTGCTTACCAAACGATTCGCCAAGCTCGTTCAAGATTTGGGGGAAAACGAGGCCAAAACAACAGGAAGTAAGGGACATATATAGAAAAACATGGTTTTGGAGAGAACCTGTGCCTGGCGGCGCTCTGGGGAAGATTGGCTGCGGGAGCTGCGTTTGAGGGAGTGCAAGAGGAGCACCGAGCACGGAATCCAGGGAAGATGTGCGAGAGAGAAAGATATATATATATATATATATATATGGATACAGCTCAAGAGGGGAGGAACGCTCCTCCTTAATTGTTCAAGGCAACGTTCCTGCCTTCTTCCAAAAAAAAGAGGGGTGTGAGAGTTTATTGCTGCCTTCCTTTTCTGCTTGCCTTTTTTATCCCCCAAAAAGAGTTGTGTTTGTGTTCTATCCCTGTTAAACACAATTTCTAAGGCCTTGTTTGGATGTCCATATATTTATATCAATCCACATATGTTGATGTGGATTAGAGTGAAAATTAGTTTAGTTTCCACCCCCAATCCACCTCAACACGTGTGAATTGAGGTCAAGCCATAAGGTGTTTCTCAATATTTCTGATGCATGCATTGACTCTTTTTTTTTTGTCACTATCCTGGATATCTGTGTATTCATGGTTCCAGCGTATTGATAACTGAAAAAAATGAAGTCATAGTTTGGCCAGGTATATGTTTGTGTTAAAACTCTGAAGGATGAAGTAAAAATTTGATGATATTGCTTAATACTTTATAAACTCAAGACAAATGTAAGTTTCCAGTACGATATTTTCTTAGACTGGATAAATATGAACACTCTAAGGTTAGCATTTGTTTCTGTGGAATGTAGTATACGTTCCTTTCTTAAAAATAAGAAATTGTATAAGGTTTTACCGGCACACTACCACTTCTCATCTTGGTTCAACTCTTTTATTCCCACGATGTATGTGCCACTGGTACCTAAAACAGCAGTGTGAAAAGGTTATCTTTCACGATCAGAACAAAAAAAAAGGATAAAGAAGCTCTTGTGTCGAATTAAATTTTGGTTTGTCTCAGATTTTCTGATAGGCCTTCTATTTGTTTCGCTTTCAAATGCTAACTATCTCAAGCGATCTGATGACAGATTCTAATCTTGCTGGCAATCTCTTCAAACACTTGGCTGCAATGTTTTTCTCAATCTATAGTTGCGGCAGTATCTAGGAGAAGTATTTGTATTTTTTCTCATTTATCATCAATAAAATGAAAATACCTCATGAGTTATGAGTTACTGATAGAAGTTGAATGCATAACTGCATAATAGTTCGTGTGATCCAGGAACAAATTGCTGGATATTCATAGGATACTGCAGTTACATATTTAACTGCAAGGGAGCCTCAAACGCTTAAGAACTCTTTTCCCCTTCTCTTTCACATTCTATTTTCTTTTAGTTGTTTTTTTTTTTTTTTTGACGGAGGGAAACCTAATTTTCTTTTAGTTGTCGATCTAGAATTTTGGGTACCTCTCCTGCCAGCACCAAAAGTTAAGAAACAGACAAATGTTTTTCAAAAAAATAGGAAATACAAAAGGCCAAGATACTAATAAATTACTAACTTGTTGGGTTGGAAGTGCCAAAATTGCTTGTTAGGTGTACCTTGCATGGATTAGCAGAAAACAGCCTAGAATGTGACAATGCCAATCTGGAATATGCTAACTGCCTTAAAAGTTACCAGAAGAATAGACATTCACAGAACTTGTCATCCTGTGACTGCCTTCTTGAAGGGTCTTATCCTCAGTTTCTTTTCATCATACTCCACTTCTGCCTCGCTTCTTTCTTTTTTTTGTGGAAATTGAGAGTTACTATTATGCTTATGCTACTTCACTGGGCTTTTAGGAAATCATTAAAGTGTGCTAAATTATTTGATATGGCAGAATATACACAGGTGTCCTAAATCCTAATACAGATATACTTTTTCACGTTTTTTTGTGGTGTTATTTGAACTAATTGCACATGTAATGTTCAATATGCAATACATGTGATTCATGAATCCCTGATTTGACACGTTAAGTGAGTTACCTCAACAAATAGTTATAAACAAATGCACCAGTGACGTCAGTTTTCCCATTCATAGAGAATTGTAGCCTAGATGATAACTCCTTCTTGATGTTGTTTATAGTGTTTGCCGTTCATATTAAAAGAAGATGAGGCTGCTTACAAAATATAATGACAGATTAGCAGCTTTCTGTCAATCATGTAGGTACCTAATGAAAATTCCACTAATTCCAAAATTTGATTGTTCTGTTTGTGGAAATTTACCATTTTTAGAGGTAGATACATTTCAGTTTACACTGCTAGAGCTAGTAGGGTTTAACCATAAAAGTGAGCAATCTGCACAAAGTGCAACAAATGTATCAGCACATGAACTCCAGTTTTCTTCCCCTGAACCCAAGAATAGACTCACCGGGTGTAAATTATGATGGTTTTGATACATTTTGCAGGTTATAAAGATAATTTTGTGTGTGTGTGTGTTTACACTTTGACTTGCAGCGTGAATATGTTAATGTCCAAATGTCTCAAGAGATTGTGCACAAGATCAAGCTGCATCATAAGGTCTATTCAGATTGTAGGGCATGCATTTTATGTAGTGACAACGGATAGAAACCTAAGAAAAAATAGATGATCAGGTTGTAGGCATGCATTTACCACAAACAGATGCTTAGGCTTAATTTTGTGCCAATAACTCCCTTTGCTTTTGTTTTATTTTGGTCAAGAAACATACGACTTTTTCACATAGCCAATTCAGGTAAAGATGGTGGCATATACATTGCTAGGGATGAGGAGCAAAATATAAAGCTAACCTTTGTGTTTTTCCATCTGCACATAATGCAAATGTATAGAGTTTATTCAGTTCAAGATTTTTTTATAGCGAAAAAAAACCAGATAGAACAGCAGAAGATAATAATGAAATACGTAGATTATGTGCTCACGACAGTTCTTGAGTCAAGTTAAACCGCAAATGAAGATATTACTGAACAGAACTGGTCATAAATACAGTACCTTTAGATGTCAGCATCTTGTGCACTAACATATCGGATATCGCAGGTATAGTAAGATAGAAACCATGAAGTCCTCTCAGCAGCAATGTGGTTGAACAAGCAAGACACGGTGTTGACTCTGATGCAAACAAGAGTAATGGCCGATCTTTGTGAGGCTCATGGTCAAGATACTAATGGCATCTGCTCCTGCCCAGAATAGAGATGGGGAATAACAAAATAGGAATAGCCTCTTACACGCAACGTAGCTGCAGATGGTGCCTCTTCCAGTAATCAGCAGCATATGTGCTGTCTCATCACGAGTGGTCGATATGTTCCGTTTCCATCCCGTTCTTGGTCCTGTTGTGAAAGGTCATTCTTAGCACAGTCAGCCAGTCGCAAACTCGCAATATGAACATGTACAGATGGAACACTGGTCCTTCAAGAATTCCCAGGAAGACACTTTTTTTGTGTTTCAACCCTGCTAAAATATATGTAGGAGTATCTCTGCTTTTTTGTTGCGGCAACATCAAATCTCTACTATTATTAGGGCCGAACAAGTGGTAAACTGGTAAGCATGGAAATGAAGGTAAGAAAAATGTTGAACAGAGTGCTGCAGTCGCCAAGATAGTGCTCAATAGCCTTTCTAAATCCTACTCTCTAAATCATCATTTGAAGAGTCATTTACATAAAAATCGTTTTTTATATCTTTTCACTCTCCAACAGTTTTTCTATTTCTCATGCGCACTCTGAAGTGTCATTCTCGTCTTCTATTTTTTGCTAGCAAAAAAATCCAAAATAGAAGATGACTATATTTGGATGATCATTTAAAAAAGTTGTTGGAGGGTAGTTTTTGACTAAAATCTCTATTAGTAGCATTTAGGATGGATACGGACAGCCTGTTGGAGATGCTCTGGATCGCCACGACAGTCTGCAGCTCTGCATCTGTTGGAACGTGCGGGGAGCATACGCATACAAATTTGGACAGGCAGATAGAAGAATACATACAACCAATTGATCAGCAAGCTTGTGCACGATGCGAGCTTACACAAGACAATTGGGTTGATCCAGAGGGGGGAGAAAGGTTGGCCAGTTGATTACCTGGTTTGGTTCCGTATCTCCCATCTGGCGATCCGACGGCGAGACAACGCGCTGGCAGATGGCATGATTGTTATGCGTCCGCGTCCGCGTCCTCGGTGCCGAGCCATGGATTTGGTAGATCGGAGCAGAACGCCACGGCGGTCCGGGCGGGACGGTGTGGCGAAGGTGACCCGAGAAGCGACGGGGTTCAGGTCTTGAGGGAGGGGGAGGAAGTAGAGCTTCCGCGTGGAGGCAGGGAGGGCCCCGAACGGTCGTAGCCCCGGCGCGCGACGGTCGGCCGCGGTTGGGGCCGGCGCTGCACGCCACGCCACGCCTGCACATGAGAGCGAGTTCGCCCCGCGGCGCGGCTGGATTTCGAATTCGCCTGCCAGTTACTGCTGCCGCTCCGTCGTCACCTGTGCGCCGCCTGTGGTGCTAGGAACTTGGGAAGGCACGGGCAGGCCGGCGGTGCCATGGGACGGGATCGGAGGTCCCACGATCGCATGTGTTTTCAGGCGTGGTGTCGGCCGCAGCGCGGCGCGGTGGCCGCCCGTGTGCGCCGCTGCTGGTCCACCTGCACCGTTTGGATCGGGGGCGCGAGGCGCGCGCGGCCCGGGTGGTCTTCTCGCGCGTTGGTGTGGCCGGCGTGCTGGTGCTGAGGTGGTGTCGTCTGGGTGGGATGGGTCGACGCGGTTGCCTCGGGGTGGCAGCGCCTTCGTTCCGTGCCGTCGGAGGTGAGCTCGGCAGTGGCGTTCACCTACGGGAACGCGGAGCTTCTACCATAGCAGGGCATGCTTTCGCCCCCATCTCCTTGCAGATTGGGATCACACCGTCCAGAGGACCTACCTCTACCTGGCGCGCATCGGCTCTCCACCGTTGCTGCCAGCCACTAGATTTGCCGGTTGCCACCCAGACGGCCACGCCAGACCCAGCAACCGGAGCACGCCGATCGCCGGACAAGGTTGGCATCTACCGCTGGAATTTCCTCTGAGTACGTCCAGATCTCCGGGAATGATGGCACCATTGGTTGCGGCACAGAATAGCAATCTGGTCACACAAAATTCACCCGGGAAATGACATCTTCCATTTAATGCAGGCTATGCAAGGCACTGCGTAGCGTAATCGGATCGGGTGAACTTATGTTTTAGGACGTCCAGTTTCTGGACTCTGAATGCATATGTTTCAGTGTCCCATGGCGGAAAACTCGGGTCGGTCGTTAAAATTCCAGCAGGAAGGTTTTATAGACATCTAAAATGAAAAAAAAAAGTCTAGACCAGTCGCAATGGAGATGTAACGAGAGTTTTATGTACATTAAATTAAATAAGATGACATATCAGAAAAATAGAATCTTTGCACGTATAGAAGAGGAGAGAGACGGGAAACGTTTCGTAGGGGTGAAACGATTGAGCGCAGTTTCCAAGTTTTTGAAACCGCACGACACCTGCGTTGAGGGAAAAAATTCATCTCCGTCGATCCCGTGCGCCATCCCCGCCTCCAGCTTTCTCGCCAGTGCCGTGCTGCTCCGGCCCGATGGCTCCTGCTCGCGCGCCTGTCCCGCGAACGAGGGGCGCCGCGTCTGCCGCCGTACCACGCGAGAGGCATGGAGTGGACGTGCGCGGCCACGTCACGGTGGCGCACCGCGGGAGCCGTCGCCGTGCTCATCGCCGGCAACGCGGACGGCGGTGTCGAGAGGGGAGTCGTTCTTCTCGGCAGCCCCTGCGATCCGCTCACCCCCAGGTGGGCCGCCACCGGCGGTGCGGAGCGTTTGGGGAAGGCACTCAAGCGGCGGTTGCCGGCTATCTCATGCTGACCTCTACGGCTCTACTGAATGTCTGGATCCATTTGATAATCTTGCAAGAAGGAATGCATCTTTATGCGGTATATAGAACATTTGCTTGCTTCCTCTGTTGTGTGTGTGTGTGTGTGTATATATATATATGAATATGATGCACGCACGTCCATGGGATTCATGCCGTATGCTCGCTACATGCTCGATGTTTTGTCTCTGAGATCTTTAAGCATGCAGCACTTCGATCACTAAATGGCTGCACAGATCATACGGCATATTTGATCACAACAACATGCAGGAATTAAATGCTACTGGTAGCCTATGAAATAGTGAAATAAAATTGTGCATTGAGAGAACCAGTTTCATTCTTCATTTCAAAGCTATAAAATTGATGTGGCAGTTTGGAAACCGAGCCATGAAACCTTGCATTGGGACTGCCTTTACTGGTCTACAGTTTAGTCATTTGACTGAATAGGCCCTTTTTAGTTTTCCATGACTAAAATTTAGCTACTAAAATCAATGACTAAACTTTAGTCACCCCTATTTAGTTCTAGTGACTAAAAGTGGCTAAAGGTCATTAAAATAGTTTAACAAAGACCAAACTATCCCTAATAAATGCACAAATCAAGATGGGGGACCAGCAATAATGAGGGACAGCCCTTGTCCACTAGGCACTCTAGCCCACTTTAGCAATGTGACTAAACTACTTTAGTCCCCTTTTAGTCAGTTTGTTTAGTGGTTTAGTAGCTAAAGTGACTAAAGTTTAGTAGCTAAACTTTAGAAGTGGTGAACCAAACAGGCCCTAAAAGGTGACTAAACTACTTTAGTATCACTACGTTTGGTATATTTTAGGGACTAAAAGTGACTAAAGTTTAGTCACCCCAAATCAAACAGGCTAAAGCTAAACATCACTCAAGTGATTTGGAACAATCCAACACTCGAATTTTCTCTTCTCCATCTCTGGTCTCTTTCCCTCTTCTTCTCCAACTCCGGCAGACTTAGAAGAGGCTCAGGGAAGGCAGGGCGGCCAGGCGGTGAGGACAGCAGGGGGCGGCGTTAGGGTTCTGGCGGCAAAGGAGGTGGCCAGGCCAAGTCAGGGCGGGGGCACCCATGGACATGGCGGCAGGGAGAGGGAGGAGGGGGGAGGGAGGAGACTGTCGCGGCAGTGGAGCTCCGGCGAGACCCTACCACGGCGGGGCATTGGGAGAAAGAAGAAGATGCGAAGAAAAAATTCGAGTGTTGGGAGAGCCCAAAACACCTGAGTATTGTATAGACAAATCCAAAAAAAAAAGAGTGTCATGACCAGGGAACCATATAGTGGGTTAAACGTCAAGCATCCAACAACGAAACACAAGCTTCCTGTGCGGCATGGAAGAACATGATGGATGTTTAGAAGGCAGAAGCAACTTAAGATAGCTCGCGATTTATTTTGATCTTCTGTCAAAAATGTATAGGTCCAAATAATGATTCAAGTGGTTCATGTGTCATCTTCGGGCTCTTTCGTGTCAATCAGTTGTCGTCACTCAATGTCACCCTCCCGCACAAGCTTTCTTTCTTTCTCTTTTTTTTTTTTTTAATCTCACATGCTTTCCATTGTGAAAGTAAAAAAGAAAGGGGTTGTTCCTGCAACGTAATTTTCAACGATTTCCCGTCCAAACTATATACTTAACTGCCTGTAGCTCGCGCCAAAAAAATTTCTTACCCTGCCAAAAAAATTAAAGAAATAGAAGCATTTTCCTAGGTAATTCCTACTACTCAATCTGTTCCAAACTATAAGATATAATTTTTGCTACGCACTTACACAGTGAAAGCAATGTATCAAAAAAAATCAAAATAACTTGTAATTTAGAACGGAGGAAGTACAATCCAAGCATGCACTGAATCGATTGTCCAGGATATTGGTTGCTACATGGACGATGCGGATGTTTACAGAGGCAAGATATTTTCTCTCGACGCTTGGACCTCTTCTGTGGGCAGGGACCCAAACCTACTTGAACAAACGTAAAAGAAAATCTGCAGATCGCTGAATGAGATTTTACATCAAACGATATGAACAATACATGTCTCGACTACCAGCAATAGAAACGATTCATAATTACAACCGATATTTGGACGGGTGCAAATCTGCATCCGATCATATCTATCAGCGCTGCACAGATAATCTGGGCAAAGGAACCATGCAATGCTAGAAAATTACAAATGATCAAATATCCTCTCGACTCAGAAACATGTTAGTCTCGACAATCGATGCTGAACACATGGAAAGGCCCAAATTTCTTACAGTAGCTGAAAAGAGCCTATAAGGAGAACCAAATGTCCAACACTATGCCGAAATAATCAGCTAGGTTGTTGGTTATGACCAAGCACTGTTGGTAGACCAAGCACAGTTTGAGTTGTCGCCGTGGAGGGCAGGCTACCAGCACTGGCCTCGTCAGCAGGCTTGGAAGGCTTTTGCTTCTCGCTCCCATGCTGCAAGGGAGCCTTTGGTAGGTTAGCTTCTGTATCTACAAGATCATATTCATGTTTTCTTTTCTTCTTCTTCATCTCGCCAGCATTTCTGTTGCCATCATCAGGATTTGCACTGGAGCTCGTTTCACGAGCCCTTTCAAAACATTTCGACCCCTGGTTCTGTCCATAATCAGCCGCATGGTATGTGATGGAATTTGTAATGGGTGGTTGTGCAACTTGTGGGACAACTCCACTTTGCATTACAACGGGGAAGCCATCTTGCAGCTTTGCTGCCGCCGCCATCCTCTTCCTCTTCATTCTCTCTTCACTGCGAACCTAGATTAATTATTAGGGGAAAAAATGAGCGACAGAATGATACAAAATATAAAGTCAACCTATACACTCTAATGCCACATCTGTTATTCTGTTTCAACTTTTAACTCATACAATTAACAAAGAATGGGAAAAGAGGAATATTTATAATGATGACCTTTTGCTGGCTGTACAATAATCTTTTTCGCTCCTTTGATCTATAAATGGCATCTTTGATTCCAACATTATCCATGTAACCTTGAGGCCATAACTCTGCAAGCTGGTGTAAATAAAATGACATTTTAATCATGATCAAGTCGATGCAGTCAACAAGTCAAAGGGAAACTCAGGGCCGGCTTGGCCGTGTTTCTGGTTTCAGTTTCTTGGCAGAAACCATAGAAACCCTGCCAACCCATCCAAAACCAGGTGTTTCGAAACAGAAACCAGCCAAACCGTTTCTCTTTATCAAATTGCAAGGCAGAAAACACAAAAAAAATATGGTTTCTCACTTCAAGAACCCAAAACAAAACAAAACAAAATAAAGAAACCCTTGTTTGCCAAACAATTTCCCTAGAAACAGAAACACAACAGACAGACATCTCTTAGGAGAAGAAACTGAAACAAAAAAACTGTTTTTCAAGAGGCGGGATCCCTACCAAATCAGCACTCTTATTCCAAAGAATCTTTTTAAAGGAAACCAAAATGAGAAACGAGGTGAGGCTTCAGGAACAATACCTCTACGTATAACTTCCTGCTTTGAGGGCCCTTGTCTTCATCCATACCCTGACAAGGATTCAGATAGGATTTCATTCAAGCCACTTTCGTTCTATACAAACTCATCTACATGTTTCACTAATAAAGAATAATAATGATAGAGTAAACAAGGATCAGATATACCCATATGTAACTGTACCTTCACTATGCAAATGATAAAGCTAACAAAGTCTAAATAATATTCCCGTCGTGCTAAAGCCTTTTCAGGCTCCAAAAAGAACAAAAACTTTTATAGGTTTATACCTCAACATACATATCATACAGATCACACAAAATGTCCTCCAATGCAGTATCCATTGCATACTTTGTTTTTAAAGCTCTTCTGTCATCATTAGCAACCTGAAAATCATCAGCTGAACCATCCTGTTGTTCATTGACCTGGTGGCATGTTGACAACAGAACATCTATCATTAGCCACAATATATAAGAAAAAGGTATGATTAATAAGAGTTCATATCTCAATAGACTAGAAGGAAGTCTCACACATATAACCAATTATATCTTTACCTTGGACTTTGCAGCCATACGTGCTTTGATCATTTCATTGATCTCCAATTTTACACGCTGAAACCTGTCAGCCTTCTCCAGTTTAGCAGATATACCTGATTCTACCATTTCTTTCATGTTTCTCTGTTTAAAATAGCATTTATTAGAAATGGAAGCAAACATACTCAAAGTTATAATAATTGTCGTGAACATGTAGTTTGAGTGAATGGTCATCGCACAGGATCAATATACTATAACATAAACATCCTTAGAGACCATAACATAATGGTCTAACCGACAACAAGATATTCTCGGTAGCAGCATTAGAGTGTTCCAAAAAGCACTAGGCGCTAGGCAGGCAGTCAGGCTCCGCCTAGGCAATACTAGGCGTCTGTACATTCTATGGCCAGGTAGGTTAATGTCATACTAAATAAAGAAAATTTAGCAGATGAGAGTAAAAAAATGATGTTATCATGCATCCATGAGTAATATGACAGTAGTCCACCTTTCTGCATCTCTAATTTGCCCCATTTTCACACATATATCAAGTTCAAAACACCTCTATGCGAAAAAAAAACTTTAAAAACGCCAAGGTGTCAGGCAAGGTGGAGCTCCCTCTAGTGCCACGGCACCGCGCCTAGGCGGATCTAGGAATCGCCTTTTTAAACAGAGCAGATTTCTTTTTTACACCACATCAAATACCAAAGCATTATATCTGTTGCTCAGTTGGTCTTCTTGTTGCACATTGTCTTATATTGACCTCATAGATCAGCATTGGCAGTGCTATTTGAGTACTTTCAATAGCCAAATGATGATAGCTTTTCTACGATTGCCATTACTTTGCAACATAAAGGAAGTATTACAGATAAAGAGATAAGGACCTGAGTTGGCATGCTCAAATTTTTTTTTTCATTATACTCTATTCATATTTGATGAAAAATAACAAACTGGAAGTTTTGCCATAACTTAATTGCCGCACTACCCTAATATGACATTTGAAAATGCAACCACTCAGTCTTCTAACTGAACCAGTAATATGTATGCAACAAGTGGAAGTGATCGTTTCTAAACGATACTGCTAGTGTAGATAAGAAAAATGGTTTTCTCACACAACACTATATTGTAATTTTTGCTAACATAGATTAAGATGAACATAGGCCAAAACCAACCAGTGCTCTACAATAACAATACATGTGCAAGATAAGCTAATTAACTTCCATCACTAACCTTCAGTGTCCTGCGCTGAACAAGGTGTCCAACTATGCCCATTAGGCGATTCATTAGCTCATGTTCTTGGATCTTTCCCTGATTTGCCTACACCACACAACAGTATTATGGACAGGTAAAGTATACACAAAGTACTAGAAAGGATTATGCATGGCGTGCCTTTGATTAAGAAATCAAAATACTAGTGATTAGTACAAATGAAAGAAAATCACATTAACTGGATACTGCAATTAACATCAGTGCCAGAAGATTTTAGAGAGCAGACACGCATTCAAATAAATCATGTATGCTAGAACTTTAGAAAAAAAAAAACAAAATTGCATAAGCTAATGCATGCATATCTGGTCTGCAAACAAAATTTTAAAAGTTCAGACAGAGTAGTATCCGCACTTGAATCTGAAGTAAATTTGGCTGTGGTGCTAGTGTGCTACATACCGATAACCTTGCAACCTTGGCAAGCTTTTGCTTTACTTCAGGAGGCAACCGTCTTTTAACTGCTGCCTGGCCATTTGGATCTACCTCATTAATATCAATTGTAGGTGGTCTGTCTGCAAGCAGAATTTCAAGCATTTAAAACTACTTCCAGCACTACTTTGTCCACAGAAAGACTCTAGCACAGCAGGGGTATATGGTACAACACTCACATTCTGCAACAATCTTCTGGAGATCGCGAATAGCTCGCTCAAGCCTGGTGCCTTTGGGTTTAGTACCTGAACCCTCCCTACCAACAACTGGGTGCTGAAAACAACAGACCATGTTGAAGTAGGTTGACAACTTTCTCTTGTGCCACAAACAGAATATAAGAATGAAACTCTTACCATTGTTTGTGTAGAATAGACAGCACTAGCCATAGCCATGCCAGGATATTCGCTTGCTCCATGTTTCTCTTTGCGATAGATTCTATTTGATGGATCTTGATTTTCTCCGCTTACCTTTCTTTGTTGGAAATCAAGTTGCGCTGAAGTGCCTTTATCCCTGTAAGCTGGATAAGCATAATCAAATGTCTCACTGGTTTTTGACTTATGAGCATAGTCAACAGGTAGTGCTGCAGCTTTATGCTTTTCCAAGTCTCTTAGCTCCAAAGGAGCATGTGAGACATCCTTAATAATCTTAGCGCGTGCTGCAGCATCACCACCCGAGAATTCAGAAGATTTTCTTTTAGGGGCTCCTCCAGGACCACTGGTTTTGTTCTTCACCACTCTATTGTCCTCGTAGTATTGACCATAAGAACCTATGTTGCTACTAGCTAATTGTTTTCCCGCCTGCACAGTACCTCTTGCAGAGGATTTTCCAGGTACATCACCAATATCGAAATAATCAACTGGAGCAAGGTGATTAGTCTCCAGATAAGTACTTGATGCATCCTTTCTTCTCCTTTTCTTTGGAGCGACATTTGCTGATGTGCCAGGTTCACTGCAAAATAGGATCACATTGATGTATATCATTTCATCAGTGCTGACATGAAGATAGCAATGCAGGTGTGGGTGTGCAAGCAAAGCATGTAATTATGCTATGTTGATCCTTTGCTTTGAATAAATTGATGTAAATGACCAATCCTAACATAAGCACAAGCAACGATTTGTTACTCTCATTTTGTTTTCAATGTTATGAGCTTATTCACACGTGCCCATGACATTTTTTATGTCAGCTGGCACAGCATGTACATTTAATAGCTAAAAACAAATATCAATTGTGCTGCCCAGAAAGGAATTAACAGGCGTTAGCAGAAGAGTATGGAGCACAAATTTCACTGCCTGCATCCCTATTGACTCCAAAGTTAACTATTTTGGGAACCTTACATCTGTTCCAACTTTCCCTTGTTCACAAAATACCCATCGTGCTTAGTTTTCAAATTATCGACTTCAAAATATTCATCCTGCAAAGAGGTAGACATTAAATAAATCAGTAGTAAGAAAAGAAAATTCATTCTCAATTGATAGATTTTAGCATAGCTCATGACAATCAGATGTTGTTTATAAATATACTCATACACAAGATGACTAAACTAGTAAACTACAATACAATTTCGGTCTAAATTGAGTAATTGCATAGGCATCAGGTAGTTCACATGGTAGAAATCTTTAGAAGAACCTTTCCCAGACATATAGCTCAGGTTGTGAGATATACTATCATATATTCTATTACAGCTCAAGTGGCAATGCCATATCAGAATAGAATTCCCACACCGATAAGCAAGAGTTCAGAAAGGTAGAACCAAAGTAAAACATAGGGTAAATATTAATACTATTTGATGTAACCTACATAATAACTATATCACATACAAAATCAAGTCAGTTTAAGGCGTCCGATTTAATAAGCATAAAGCTGAGACCAGAAAAAGATCCAGAAGCAACAAACCAAACTCATGTAGACAAAAGAAACAAAAGTTTGAATATAACTAACCAATTCGGCGTCATCAATGAAAGAATCCTCAGTGTCATACTGATCATCATCTGGCACATCATTAAGATCCTCTTCATCGCTGCTATGTTTTCCCTGGCAATTTGTACATGGAGTCAAAACATCATGCATGGTGAACATGGGATCAAATGCAACATGGTGTTTAGTATACCATGTAAAGACGCTCAATTTTTTCAATGACTGCGTTGAACCGATTTGGCTGCGTTGGATCCTTTGGGTCATTTTCTGCAGGATGTGCCTGATTCAAATGATAAAACAAACTAGTAGATGTTAAATACAGCATTTCTTGAATGTCAAGCAATTCAGTGGATTCCAAAATTTTAACATACTTTTCACACTGAAATACTGAATGCTAAGAGCATCATGTTGAAGAATGACAAGGTTTTGGCATGAACATGTACAACAATCCACCAGTATGAGATTTCATTGATTTGGGCATATAGGCTTTCAAGGTTTTGGCAGGTTACAAGAGAGAGGAACTAATACTCACTGCAGAACATCTCTGGAAGATACGCACAAGCACCTAATAACATAAAAAATATATACATAGCTCAACCCGAACAACAGAATACAACCACACTGTGTTCATATAGTAATTAAGAACATCGATGTTGTCATCGTCATCACTACAAACAGGTTCCCTAAAGGTATGTTTTTATGAGGGATGGACATGTTGCTACCTACCAAAACTGCCCTCACGTGGATCCTACCTTCAGTCTCCAGAAGAGAATCCTTCTATTTTCATCTACTCAAAAAGCTAAAAGCTAGGTAGCGCACAAATTACAGCGATGGCGATGCAGCAGGTAACCAACCAACACGCAATAATCGCAAAATGACTGCTTACCGCACCAGATGGGCCCGCATGTGCAGCGAACGCTGGCTCCGCCTTCACTGGCGGTGCCACGGCGGTGTGCCCGGCCTCCTTGAGAAGCTTCTTCCACGACACGATGGTGGTCTCCCCTGGCTGCAGCTCCACCGTGAACAGCTGCCTCCGGCACGCCGCCGCGGCTTCAGGGACCGCGGCCGCGGCGGTGGCAGGTGGCTGCGGCGGAGCGAGAGCGGGCGGCGCAGAGGTAACGGCAGGGGCTGCCGCCGCCACCGCCGCCGGAACCCTAGCCGCTGCGGCAGCGGCAGGGGCGGTGGAGGACGAGGAGGGGGCCGCCACGGGGTCTTCCATGGCGAGGCTGCGGGAATTGGGAATTCGAGAGGTCACGGCATTAGATCGAAGGACCTAGGGTTTTGGGGAGCGGGGGTGGGGTGTGGTACAGGTGAGTGGGGAGTGGAGGAGGAGGTGGGCTCCGGACTCCGGCGTTTGGAGAAGGGGGGCACGAAAACGCCCTCGGTTTTGATCGAGGCGGAGGGAGTCGCGCGCTCCGGATGGGGTGAACTAGCCGCCGTGGATTTCTCGTCGCCGTTGGGTTGGCTCCTCGTCTCGCCGCCGCGTACACGTCCTTGCCTTCGGAATCGGAACGGGCGCGCGTGGACCGGTGGTTGCTTGTTCTTGGGCTTGGGCCTTGGGAATACAAAAGCGTTACCTCGCGGATGGTCGCGCGGACCCCTCGCCCATGGGCCGCGAGTCCGTGACTGGCCCACGCCAAAAGCAAGGTGCAGGGTTGGTGAAAAAATGGAAGAAAATTAATGGAACATGTAAATAAGAAATTTTAGATGACATTGGAGTATTGGACCTGTTTGGTTTGCTTTCAAAAAAAAATATGTCAAGGCGAACTGATCATAGATTAGTTGGTTGAATTTCTTGTGGTAGAACCTGTCCATCTAGATTCAAGTCCTCGACTTGGCACATGTGCTCGTATTTTCCTAAATTTATTCTATGATTTAACGACACTATGCTTTAAGTGGTAAACGACGTCCCCGTCGATAACGAGACGCTTGTGATGACTTCGTGAATCTCGAGATCTGTCACCTCAGTCCTTCAGATGTGATCATAGAGGTAGGGTTTATGTACGTGTATTCATAGGGGTGGGTGTGCGTGAGTGTTGTGGGTGTCGATGTTGTACTGTGTAATTCTAAAAAAAAATGCCAAGCCAATGATCACAAGTCATGGTTTCACATTTGACTTACCAAATCTATAGTAAATCTTTTTGCCTAAAATTTACTTGCCAAATCTTTAGCATATCAAATTTAGGTCCTAAACTGGGCCCTATTCGTTTGAACTTATTAGCCGGCTTATCAGTTAGAATCTACAGTATTTTCTCTCATAACAAAACAGCTTCAGCTAACTTATCAGCCGGCTTTAATACCAGCCGAAGAGGCCCACATGCCTATTGTCTACTCCCTCCGTTCTAAATTATAATTCATTTGACTTTTTTGCCCCAGGTTTTGATTACTCGTCTTATTTAAAAAAATTGTGCAAGCATAGTCAAATTTAAGTCATTATTAAAGAACTTTTGTTAATAAAGCAAGCCACAGCCAAAAAAGTGATATTTTGCATAAATTTTTGAATAAGACGAGTGATCAAATTTAGAGTAAAAAAGGTCAAACGAATTATAATTTAGAACGGATTTAGTATTTGTCTTCCATGTACTTCGTTTATGGTTGGTGAAGGAAACAAAAGGCATTGCTGCTAGCTATACCCATCTCCATCCATTCTAAGAACATGTTTCAAAGTACAGTTGCATTACAACAACGTGTCCACTCGAAGAACATGTTACAAAGTACAGTGCATTACAACAACGTAAACAAATGAAACAAAAGCAAACGCTGATTAGCGCATCTCTATGGGATTGAAAACTTCACATCTCAGGCCATCGGGAAACGCTTGCAAAGAAAGACCTAGCAGCCTAAGAAAAAAGAACCGATGTGAAATGTAAAGCGAAAGCTCCGATGCAATCGTTTCATTCCAAATCATCACGGCCTGTTTCGCGCAGCTCCACTGCCTTGCCATTGCCGCTGGTGGCCATCCCCGACGGAGACTCGGGCGGTGGCGACGTGGGGCCTCCTCCTCGCCCTCACCGTCCGTGCCGCCCTCGTCGAAGTTACGCGCGTAGCTGAGGGCGTCGTACTGGAAGTCCCCGGAACGACGACGCGCGTGCCTGCCAGACCCGAGGCTCTGGCCCTTTGCTTTGATCCACGCCGACGGCGACCGGATCAGAGACGGGGACGCCGGCCGGTCTGCGTGGCCGTGTCCGTGTCCGATGCAGCTGATGCCGTGCGCGACGGGGGAAGACGATGTCGGGGACGGGCGGAAACAGCCGGCGAAGCAGCCAATGTTGCTGGTCACGGGAGGGACCTGGACATTCAGGTGGTGGAGGTGCGATCACCGGTGCTTTCCGTCGCGATGGCTATGGTCCGTCTCGGCAGAGGAATCAGCCATGGCGTTTCTTGGTTTCTTTTTTTTTTAGCGACAAAGGATGCGTGAAGAAAAAACGAGAGATTTTTGCTCTCCTTGGACCTTGACTCCTTGAGTGACGGGCAGCGCCTAAAGCTGGCATCGTTTTTTTTTTTGGTCTTGTGTCTGGGAGAGTAGCCAACTACCCGTCGAAACAACAATTTGCACTGCATTTCCGATTTCTTGATTACACTGTATTGATTAGTTGAAATTAGACCATTAGTAAAGAACCATTTATAACTAACTTCTATAAAAATTAGGGCATGTTTAGCAGGGTTTTCGTCCGGAGCACGGGAGAATGAGCCACATGGTCATGGCCTAAAAACAGTTTCGGCTCCTTTACTATTCATTATAAAACGGCTCCTAAAACGTATATTATGGCTCCTCTAACATACTCTTAACATCAATTTAGATTCCTAGCAGCTAAGAGGTTTGTTTGGATTCTTATTAGTTAATGTCTTACCATCATCTAATTAATTAATAACAATTAGCTAATAATGATTTTCAGCTAACACAATTAATAGTTACTGTAGTTGGGTAGAGATAAAAAAATAGTTAGTTGGATGAATTTAAAGGTGACCTTATCTAGTAACAAAGCTATTTGACTTGAAATATATTTTATTATTTAGAGCATCTCCGTGAGTTTTTTTAAAGTCCACTCTCTAAATCATCATTTATAATGTCATTTCCATAAAACTCGCTTTATATGTCTTTTCGCTCTTCAAGAATTTTTTCTATATCTCGTGTGCACTTCACAGAGTCATTCTCATTTTTATCTCTGGCTAGCGAGAAATCCGAAATAGAATCTCGTTATATTTGGAAAACCAAATAAAGGAGTTGCTAGAGTGTATTTTTTTCATTAAAATCTCTTTTCATAGCAAGTATGAAGGATATAAAAAGTTTCTTGGAGTTGCTCTTACATCCATCGTATTGTAAGCAAACAATGCTAAGTAAAGGTGTCCTCAGACGTACTTCTAAATTATAAGACGTTTTGGTATTTTTAGATTCATAGCATTTGTTATGTATCTAGGCATAATATATATCTAGATGCATAGCAAAAGCTATAAATCTAAAAAAATCAAAACGTGTTGTAATTTAGAACAGAAGGAGTACAAATCAACACGATGAAAGAGGAAGAGATACGAAAGATGACAATAGCAGCGAGCCAGAGTAAAAAATCATACAGATAAACGAAGGTATACAAAGAACAAACAATTATATTTAGTTAAATAAATAAAACTATATGAATAAAAAATCCAAATACTACACTAAACAAACTAGCTATTCGTTCTATTTGTACGATCAGCTTGCTAGTTGAATTTTTGTACTTTTCCTTCAGAACGCTGATGAAAGTTTATCGATGGCAAATAAAAACACTGAGCGACTTAAATGTCGGATTTTGTAAACGCTGAGGAAATCGCGATATCATAAACTTGACAAAGGGTCTACAGTTTGTACACCTACCGGGAGAAACGTCGACAAGACACGACACGAACTCATGAAGTACACAACGCCATTACCGCACCAAGTACAGTACCTCTCCCCCTGCTTTCGGCTTTGCCATCAACCGCAATCGGACAGCGAGGTGAAGTCAAGTTGCCCCGCGGACGCAAAGCATACAGGCCATTTGCCGTTTCCGGCGCGCGCCTCTGAACAAACCCGAAAGCCCCCTCATCACCATTCCTCTTCCTGCCATGGCGATCCCCTTTACTCCTCCCCTCCCACCACCACCGCCGCTCCCAACTACACCACACCGGCACCACCACCAAACGAGCGGCTCCCGGCTCTTGCTCAGGAAGGGGAGAAGAGGCAAGCCTTTCTTGTCAAGTTGCTGGAGGAGGGAAGGGGAAGAAGGATGGGGCGCGGCAAGATCGAGATCAAGCGGATCGAGAACTCCACCAACCGCCAGGTGACCTTCTCCAAGCGCCGCAACGGGATCCTCAAGAAGGCGCGGGAGATCAGCGTGCTCTGCGACGCCGAGGTCGGCGTCGTCATCTTCTCCAGCGCCGGCAAGCTTTACGACTACTGCTCCCCCAAAACATCGTGCGTGCCGTTACCTACTCCCTGTTTTGCTTCCAGTGTCTGATTATCTTTTCACTGTGCCTTAGTATATTGTTCTAGTTTTTGCCGGACTGGAGAAAAGTTCTATTTTTTAGTCTGCTACTATATATATACTGTTCTATTTTAGTTGGATTTGGATATTGTTATACTTTCCATTACTATAGCAACTATGCAATTTTAAGTTGTTTTGGATTGGGGAAGAGACAGCGCAATTAGGTAAAGGATAAGATTTTTGCCGGTGCTGCTACTTTTCTTATCTATTTGTCATGAGCGAGCTTGTAAAGTCTTAAGATTTTTACCTGAATGGTTTCCTGTCCGTTTAAAGTATATTTTTCTATTTGTATATAGGTGAACCACCTATACTTCTCTTTACTAAAATCGTTATGACTTGCGTAATTTTGATTCGCTTGGTTTCTGTTGAACTGACACACTAGCAATATACGTGCATATATATGTGATATCCTTTTGGTATGCCGTAGGCTATCAAAAATCTTGGAGAAGTACCAGACCAATTCTGGAAAGATACTGTGGGATGAGAAGCACAAGGTAATATTTGATTTGCAAACAGAACGGAAACCCCCTTTTTAGAGCTTAACTATCATTTTGCTAACTTCCTAGAATTAGTTGAACATATTGACTGACTATTTGATGGGCACATGAACCATTTCAGAGCCTTAGTGCAGAGATTGATCGTATAAAGAAAGAGAACGACACCATGCAGATTGAGCTCCGGTAAATGCTTAGACTTCAATAAATTGTCTTTTTCTTTTTTGGAATTTCCATCTTCATACCAAGTTTCTATTTATATAGAGTGTGGTCTCATAGTAATCTTTTAAGCTAGAATAAACTCTTTTCTTTTGGGGAATTTACCTCTTCAGTTTCATGTTGATATTTATGGAGAATGTGATCTCCTGTGTGATGGTACAGGCACCTGAAAGGTGAAGATCTAAACTCACTGCAACCCAAAGACCTGATCATGATTGAGGAAGCACTTGATAATGGACTGACGAACCTGAATGAGAAACTGGTAACACTACTCAATCAGTCGATCTCAATGTGGTTGATGTTGCAGGTATTATCATCCGTGTAATAAATTCTGATATTGGTTGTTTTGTTGATGCAGATGGAGCACTGGGAAAGGCGTGTGACAAACGTATGAGCTTAATCTGACTAATGATTCTGTATTATGAATTTATTTGAGCGTATGGTTGTTTTTTAATTCTTTCCCTCATCCATTGTTTTATTGGTTGATTGTAGAATAAGATGATGGAAGATGAGAACAAATTGCTGGCCTTTAAACTGGTAAGTGTCCTTGCAGGGTTGAATTTGTACTTGAAAAGGCTGATCACTCTTTCCTCGAAAAATTAATTTGAAATTTAAGACTACCTTGTGGGTACTTCTCGGTGTTTAAATTATGTGTGATGCGTACAGTTTTCAGACATCAATTTAATCCACTGTTTCATTAAAAAGTTTCTGTTTTTTTTGTGTGTGTGTGTGTGAGGGGGGGATTGAAAGCACAAACAATTCATGCAAATAACTTATAGTGAAAATTATGCATCATGCTTTAGGACCACCTATCGACCAACTAGAATGTCATGAAGTGTGTTTCTATCGTATTTATTATGTTTGCTTAGTCTAATCAAACTGGATAAGTAAATGTCAGGCTTCCTATATCAAGTCGGTGGGATGTAAAAGAAAATGTCATGTTAGCCTTCGTGGTTTTAGATGTGTGGAAATTTTGGTACACAATATCTATGCACTAGTAGTTACTACTTACTACTAGTTAATTATCGAAATAATTCTGAATCTGAAACTAGAAAGCTTGCCTAAGCAATTGTTTTTCTTCATTATCTGCAGCACCAGCAGGATATTGCACTGAGCGGCAGCATGAAAGATCTTGAGCTGGGTTACCATCCTGACCGGGACCTGGCGGCCCAGATGCCAATCACCTTCCGCGTGCAGCCCAATCATCCCAACTTGCAGGACAACAATTACGGCTGAATACCCCATTCCACTTGCCGTTTCATCTGAAGATTTCACCCACCACCACTGGCTTGTATGTCCTCATGCGTTGCCAACTGTATCTTTTCTTTCCAGTATGTTTGGATGAATGTATAATGTGTGTCAGTCGCATGATGTGGCGATGTCGTCGATCTGTGGCACACGTTCTCAGCTGGTCTATCCTTGTTCAGGATGGCGCCAGCAGCAGAGCTGCAACGTGAGTAACTTGGTAATGTATGATTGCGTAGCCACTGCATCTGCCGGACAGTGAATAGTTTCTCTGCGCTACTAAAAGTGGGTCAAACAATGATGTAATATCTGTGTCGATCTGTCAATGACACGTATTTGGCTTTTCACTATATGTTACATATAATCCATTTACATTAGCTGAAAGGCTATACATCACTCTGAAATCCAGTTAACCAACACTTGCAGCAGTGTAACATAGCATGTGGAACTGTGGATATTACGCATCTTATAATTAGAGTACGTGTGATCCTGGCCTGACACGTCGGTCACCTTGCATCCTGCACGCATCCATCGTCGCTGCTGTGCAGTCGTGCATCACCTGAGCATGTCTCCAAAGTCCACGAGTGGGCCGCCGCCGCTCAGAATCGATGAAGCGCTGAAATTGGTTTCGCCTTCGTCGAACGCAATCCTCTGTCCGAACGGCTGTGGTCGGTCCGGCAGGTCGGGCACGTCCATATCCCCCTCCAGCATCCTCAGTGCCTCCGGCATGCTCGGGCGGAACGCCACCGTGACGTGGGCACACAGGATCCCGACAAGCACGTACCTCTCCATGGCCGCCACGCTGGTGCTCGGCTCCTTCCGCAGCGCCTCCGCGAGGACATCCCCCGGCCGGCCAGCCTTCGCGTGCGTCCACGCCCAGTCGGTGATCAGCACGACCCCGGACGGGTCGGACAGGTCGAGCGCGCGGCGGCCGCTCATCACCTCGAGCACCAGCACGCCGAAGCTGTACACGTCGCTCTTCTCAGTGAGCTGCCCGTAGAGCGCGTACTCCGGCGAGAGGTAGCCGTGCGTGCCAGCGACGCGCGTGGTGAGGTGCGACTGGCCCTCGCGGCTCCGCCGGGCGAGGCCGAAGTCCGCCACGCGCGCGCGCATGTCCGTGTCCAGGAGGATGTTGGTCGCCTTGATGTCCCGGTGGTAGATCCCCGGCTTGACGCCGTAGTGCAGGTACTCGAGCCCCATGGCCACGTCCAGGAGGATGGTCCTGCGCTGCGCCCACGACAACGCCGGCCGCCGCCTGCCTTGGCTGTCCTCGAAGATGTACTGGTCCAGCGAGCCCTTGGGCATGTAGTCGTACACGAGGAACATCTGCTTGCCTTCGTCGGCGTCGTCGTCGGCAATGCAGCACCCGCGGAGCGGCACCAGGTTCCGGTGCCGGAGGAGGCTGATGATCTCCACTTCGTTGGTGAACTCCTCATCGCCGCCCTCCACGTTGGGCTCGAGCATCTTCTTGACGGCGACGACGGTGCCGTCCGCGAGCACGCCGCGGTACACGACTCCGAAGCCGCCGCGGCCGATGAGGTTGCGCTCGGCGAAACCGCCGGTCGCCTTCGCCAGCTCGCAGATGTCGAACATGACGGAGCCGGTGTTTGGCCGCGGGATCGAACGCCGCTCCTCCAAGATTTGGATGCTCCTGTCCTTGGTGTGCTCCTGTCTGTTCCTCCAGACGAGGAGGGCGACGAGGGAGACGAGCAGGAGCGAGGCGATCGGGATGGTGGCGGCGACTGCGATGTTGGTGTGGCTGGCGGAGCTAGAGGTTGGCGACGAGGTGGCGGGGGAAGGCGTGGAGAGAGCGAGGCCGAGGGCACACGCCGCAGTGACGGGGGAGTCGGGGCCGGCGGAGCTGGAGATCCCGGCTGCGTAGAGCACGGTGAGGTAGAAGCAGTTTTGGGACTTGGATCCGTTGCCGGCTGCTTCGGTGAGGCGCGCCGAGGCGTCGATCCCGGCGGCGAGGCAGCTGTTGCAGAGCGACATCGAGGTGACGTCGGCGCCGCAGGAGGCGTTGAGGCCGGCGACGGAGGCGTTGCCGGCGACCGCGACGAACTCCGCGGCGGTGGTGACCCCGGCGCAGTAGTCCGGGGAGATGGCGAACTGGGACTGGACCGGGAAGCAGCCCGGCACGAGGGAGGCCGGCAGCGAGAGCGGCGGCGCGGCAAGCGCGGCGGAGAAGGCGCGGAGGCAGGCCGCCGAGGCCCGCGCGGACGGGAGGCGGAAGCGGCCAGAGGCGCGGAGCCGCGACGCGAGGCCCACGCCGAGCACCGAGAGGAGCGTCGTGCAGCAGGCCGTGCCGTTGGCCACGGGCGGCTCGCACGGCGCGCGGTCCCACGGGAGCGTGGCCACGTAGCCAAGGTCGAGCGGGCACGCCGCCGTGGCGTTGGCGCCACCGTCCTCGGCCACCGCCGGGCGCGTCATGACGAGGAGGAGGAGGAGGAGGACGGGATGCTTCCACTTCCACACCGCCGCCATCCCGGTGGGCGAGCGGAAGAGAACCCGATGCAAAGCGAAAGGTGAGCTCAAGTGAGGCGGCGATGCCAAGGTGCCCGTGTGTATTTTAAGCGCGGGTGGAGTATCGCTCGTGGGACCAACCTGTCAGTCGGTTCGAGCGAGTGGCTGGGTTGGCATCGAATCGGGGCCTCGGAGGTCGGAGGTCGGAACCTGATCTGTGTGAGTGTGAGTGTGATGTCTGATGTGTGGCTGCGATGGCAGAGACACTGACGTCGAGCAACAACACGTTGACCAGTGCCGTGCTTCACTCACGACCTGTGTTTCCTGATCAGGAGAAAGGGGTCAATCCTTGGCTCCTTGCAATGTCCGGTGATCCTTGTCACGATAAACTTGTGGGCTGACCACGCCTGCCTTCTGAAGCTCAAGGAGGCAGGAAACATGAGAAAGTTGGTTCCATGTGGCCAGAAAGACGGGCTTTTTTCCTCACTTTATCACGGGGCAGCTGGCTACTTTTGATTTGCACCCTACCAACTTGACGTACGTAATGATCTTGGATCGAGCAAACGACTGGTGGTATGTGTACTCCTAAATCGTTTTTTAATCGTTAACAACTCTAAATCTCTATTTAACATCGGTAACAAGGCAGCAGTCCAGGTTATCATTGCTGCTGGCCGTATGTCCAGGAAAAGGGTTCTAGGCATTATGAGCGACGACAGAACAGAGCGCTGTTGGAGAAAGAATCACGTCACATGTGGCTCTGTCTGAACACATCTTTTTTTCCCCCGAAAAGCTCTAACCATGTCTCTCCTCCCTTTTTCTTGAAAAAAAAACTACTGTACTAACTGTGTCTCTATGCTCCAGAAGCACATGGCGTTGCATTGGAGACTGCATGTGTTTACATGCCACGGGCCCACGGTGTTGGAGTATTTGGATAGTTTCAGTCCATGGATGGGCGCACTGCAGCTACCGTCGCCGAGAAGCCTCTTTTGTCCTATCCTTTGGAATAGTTTGGATGCATACATGAATCTGGTCGTCCTAGCCGCTTTGGAACGCTAATCCAAGAGCCACAGCACAGATTTGGGCATTTGGCACGTTCTTATGAGGGAAAAACTATACCATACTGTCAATCTTGGGCCCCAAAAGCCAGTAGATTGTCAAACTAAGAGCTGGGCCGACTGTTCAGAGGTCTCATTGTATTGGGCTAGTTGGAAATGCGGTAGACATGGGCTTCTTCTTTTTTTGGAAAAAACGACATGGGCTTCGTCCATGGAGCCATACACGTTGAGTGAGTCAAGCCCATTAGCGGGCATTCTTTTTATAAGGAAACAAAAAATTCGAGCGTCAAAAGGATGATGAAGCTCTTGATATGGAATCATTGATTGTTGCAACATGATAAAGAGACTAACACTATCCTAGTAACCTGGTGATTATATTGATAAAGAAGAAGTCCCAAACTGGGTTCAACAAAAAACAACAACAGTCGTAACAACTACAGACGACTATCACAACACCACCAACAACGCAACAACAACAACAACAGTAGCGACAAAAAACAAACATCTACCTTAGATAACTCTACCAACAACAACCCACTTGCAATCTAAGCGAACCAACTATCCACGTTGAAGACAAACGACTAAAGGAAAGACAAAGAAACCTCTGTCACCATGTCCCAGAAGGGACGACCTTTTAACCCCGTTAGTGGCTTGAGGAGATCAGGTGACAACAATTTTTTTTGGCGTTCTGCGTACTCGCGTAGACTTGCACTACATCCTCGCTGAGCTTTCCGTCATATCCACAACTATACCCAAATCTTTTAACACACCGTGTTGTGCAAGATGGACACTTTGAAGTGATGATCTATCATATGACTTACGTCGACGTCTTGTTCTCAATGGTGAAGGGGATGCATAAAAGGACATGCAAGGTCCTTGAGTGGACTATTACTTCATCCAAGTTCAATGACACAAGCTGAGCTTCATACACTGGCCAACCTAAACATGTCAGAGAGACAACACTATTCCAGGCTTCCACTAGACACTACTCAGGTTTCTTTGGCAGAGCTCTCCTCCTAGCTTCTTCATTCGAGCTGATTTCGTAGATCCATAACAAACGGTTAAATATGACCGGGAGATGACATGCATTTTCCATACAGTTTAGCCCTACAGTATCTTCGGCCGCCATTCAGGAGACACAGTTGCTGCCCCTTTTACTCCTCATCACTGTCTAGGGCTCCTCTCCATTCTCTCTAGCAAGTCTTTTGGTGGCAAAAAAGTAGAGGTGACCCATCTCTCTTTTATAACAATTTTTTGATCTAGTTTTCTTAGGTTTTAACCTAAATAGATTTACCGACGAAATTAGGTTATTTTCGATCGGAATCTTGTTACATATGGTGACTTCGGTGATTGCCATGACGGGGTCATTGTTGTAGATGCCGATATCATTGTCGGCAGGACACCAATTATTTCTTGCCATTACCTGCAAGAGGAGGGATGCTCCTGGGCACATCCCACGAGGACAATAACTCTAGGTCATCGAACTTAACATCGATAGTTGCGGAGAGGAAATTAGGCATACATGATGAATCAATGGTTGGAGGTGATGATGAATATGTAGCCTATGTTGTACTCAACGATATAACTGTCGATATTGTTTCATCGTTTTAGATACGTTTTGGATTGGTTCTAGAATGTTGGATCTTGCAGCATGTCCAATGTTTTGGAGTTATCGTTCGATTCAGTATAAGGAGAACACTTTAACTTTGGTTTTTAGCAAGGATATGTTCTGCATCGAGAAAAAAACACTAGAGAGGAAAGATGATGGAAGAATCTGGATAGAATGTCATATTTCTTTATGTGTAATTAGAGGGCGTAATGTGCCGAGTTTTAATATGATCACCTTCCTTAAAAACAACTAGTTTCTCATAAAAAGCTGACAGTAACCACTCATCACCTTCACCAGAACTCCTCTTCAAGCCGTCTTGCGGTTTGCCTAAACACCGGAGCCACCCCCCTAAAGTGCCTCAAGCCCTTTAGTGGGTTTTGGATAATTGAATGACAACGTGATTAAAGGTCTAACCCGTTTGCTGAGTGTTGGACAGAAAATGGGTTATCTCACATGTATTTGATGAAAGCCAAAATAATGTGTTGTTGTATAAACAATCTAGTTCAAACACAAGACAACAATGCAAATGTAACTCATGCAAGGCTTATTCATGGTGGGATTTCGATGACTCATATGAAAGCAAGCACGTTGAAAGATAATTAATGAGACATGAGGGATTGCATATGGAATGGTCTCACTTTTTAGAGCTTACTATATTGAAAGACAATGATACAAATGATCTTAATGAATGATTCAACACCAAGTGTGACTTGATGGCTTGAGATGGTGAAGATAGCAAGGAAATGCTTCGAGGTACTAAGCAAGGGTGAAGGGCAAGCGATGGCTTGGCGACCGAGAAACCTAGCTAGGGTGAAGAAGGAAGTACTTGCATTTAGTTGAGGTACCAATCAAACCATGACGATCACATTTAAAGTGGAGAATCAAATCTTGGATGAATTGTTGGAAGTGACTTGATGCATTTGAAGTTAACTCATAATCATTGAATGGAATCAAGTCACATGCTCAAGATGGCTATGTTCAAGGAGAAAATCAAAATTTTCATGTTGACACCCTCACTTGATGATGATTGAAGGCTATGGCATTTGGTTTGAAGGAAATCAACTCAAGCGACTCAACTCCGTTTTTATTTGATCTTAAGTTAATAGGCATGCTGTACTATTAAGAGGGATGCATCATGTTGATAGATACTTATTTATAAGTGCTCAAGCCAACCTATGTGAAGTTTGAGTGTTTTGAGAGCTGAAAAAGCTAACTTGTTTTTGCTGAGTCTGGCAATACCGGACGTGTCTGATATTGATACTGAACGTGTCTGGTATTTGCGGAGCCAGAGGAATGTTCTTGGTGTTCTCAGTTTGGTTCGTCGGGAGTTCCGACAAATGTCAGGAGTTCCAGGAGTCAGAAGTTCCGGCAATCATCGGGAGTTACGACGCCTCACAGCACCACTGACTTAGTGACCGTTGGAGCTGTACAGGCAATACCGTACGACGTGTCCAGTATTGATACAGGACGTGTCCGGTATTCCCCAGCGGCTAGTTAACGGCTAGTTTTTCAAAGGGGCTATAAATACCCCTTAGCCTCCACCTTTGGAGGCTGCTATTCTGCTGACTTTCTTGCACGTTTTTTAGCCTTGAGAGCACTCTTTAACCCTCTCTTAGTGAGTGATTGATTCAAAATTGCAAAATCCATCTTGTGAGTTGAGTGAGATTCAAATTGAGAGCAAGCCACCCTTGAGCACTTGTGCATATTTTTCGATCTCATGATTTGCATTTGTTACTCTTGGACTCTTTGGTCCTAGATGGCTAGGCGTCACCGAAGAGCACCCAAGAGCTTGTGGTGTGCCTCAAGAAGTTTGTAACGGTTTGATTCCACCGTCGTAAGGTAAGGAATCAAGCTAGTGGAAGGAGAAAAAGGAGTTGGAAAAGAATCCGGCTAGAGTGGCCTTCGTGGTCCTCTAGAGCTGACCTTCGCCGGGTCGCTCGTAGCCCCCTCAACTGAGAGTAGGACTCAATAGAGTCCGAACTTCAGTAAAACAAATACCGTGTCTCGATCTCTCTTTACATTTGGTATTTGTGATCTTTGTTTGTTGCTTGAGCTTGTGAACAGGTCACCAGTGAGTGCCTTGAACTTGGTGCGAAGGGAGGAAACAAGGGGAGCAAGTTCTATTGTCGTGGGCAGAACTCGTGTATACCGGACAGCGTCCAATATTTCTGCCCAGAGCCCAATTTATTTATTCTCTGTTCTAATCTTTGTGTTGCAGGGTTGTACCTCCTAGATATATTCTATATACCTTGTTTACTCTGTTGGCTAACTCATGAGTGGTTTATTTCTCTGATTTTGAGTTTCCAAGTAATTGGTGTCAGGGTTATAACCCCAGGGTGTCTCAAGGCATCGATTAG